AGCCCAGCAGGTCAAGGCTGCGGTGGCCAGGAGTGGCCACTGCACTCCAGTCTGGGCAATGGAGTAAGACTCCAACTCAAAAAAAAAAAAGTTTCCCCCAAAAGTTCTAGCATCAAAGCAGTGCCTGTTGGTCATTCTCATTCTTACCCCTCCCATCGTCTTTTTAGTCTGGATAAATGGTAAAGCCATGTATCCATTCTCTCAGACCAGAAACCTCAGAGTCATCCTTAACTTTTGCACACTTCACATCTGATACATCAGCAAATTCTGGCAGCTCAACCTTCAAAACTGATTCAGGATCTAACCACTTGGTTCAACCCCAGTGCTTTCACCCTGGTCTAGACCCGTGTCATCACTCACCTCCATCCTTAGGGAGTCTCCTAGCCAGCTTTCCTGACTCAGCCCTCACATCTTCTGACAGTGTCTGTTTTCCATGTAGCAACCGTGATCTTAATAAGATGAAAGAAAGGTTCAGTCACATGCCTCCTTGGTGCAGGTCCCACCAGGGGCTCCTGTCTCCCTGGGCAGCATAGGAGTTAAAAATCCATGAAGTGGCTTCTGATTCCCTTTCTGACTGGTGCCTCTTTTGTCCTCCATCCCCTCTACTCTCTTATTCCTGGCTGTGCTCAGTGCTCACCTGATATCTGGTGACAAACACACCACCTGAACACATGCCCACCTCAGGGCCTTTCACTTGCCACTCTCTCTGCCTGGAAGGCTCTTTCCCCAAGAACCACTTGATTTGCTCCCTTCCTTCTCTTTGGTCTCTTCCTAAAGATCACTTTTTCAGTGAAGTCTCCCCCTAGCTCCTATGTACTGCCCTAAACTCTTACCTCCTACTTCCAACCTACTCTGTTCTCTTTCTCCCAAAGCGCTTCTCACTGTGTGACCTACTTTGTGTTCACTTGTCTATTTGTTCATTGGGTTTAAGTCAGTCTCCCCCATAAGAAGGTGGGCAGGGCTCCAGGTGGATTTGTTCACTGATGTACCCCCAGCTCCTAGCCCACTGCCTCATTTGTAGCAGGCACTGAATAACTTTTGTTGAATGAGTGGATGAAACAAAAACTCATGGTAAACTGAAGAGAGACTTAGATGATATGATACAAAATCTAGTCAACTCCTAAATAACAGTGGAACACTTTAGTGCTGTACAAGGTAAAACTCTTAAAAATTTGGGGGATGATGTGGATGCTTCCTTTTTATTTGGAAACGTGTTTCTCCTGCTCTCTAAGGAGCAGAGCTGCTGATGACATTTTTGTGAGAGAAACGCGTAATAGGCAGGTCTCTGTTCCTGGCACCCACCTCCTATAGCCCTCAGTGAATGTTCGGTCTTCAGCATTGTATATGATTTGGCAATTTTTAAAAGGGTGTTGGTTTCCAGGAAAAAATACAACTGGATTATTACTTATTGTCTTGAGTTTAGATTCTCCATAAATAAACATCCTTGCTTTGGAGGATGTCACCAGAGACCTCTAAATTTCTGTCAAGCACAACTTATTTCTAATCAAAGCTTATATTTGCAGAAACACCTGCAGCTTTTTTTGTTTGAAATCTCACCTTTTAACCTCGTTTGTCCAAAAGATCAACAGATCTTTTGGAGGAAACTGCTATGTGCCAGGCATTGGTCACATAAGGGGATGCCGAAAGTATGATACCCAGTTTCCACTTTTAAACCATTTACAGTCAGGCTGTCTAATTAATACATGTAGAAGAGAAAAAGAAGAAAGGCTGAAATAGCAAGGCCAAGTAGTTCCCCAGAGCTATCGCAGGAGCCAGGCTGGTGGTCAGACAGTGAAAATCACAGGGGGGAGAAATCTTGGCTTTACAGAAATGGAAGAGAAGGCAGAGTCTTCTAAATGTGAGAATCTGGGAGCACTGACATAGTGGGTGTTTCATCATTAATTGATACTTATTTTCACACATGTACCATGTGCAAAACATGCTGAATGCCTTATATATAGCACATGCCCTTATAAAGCTGGCTGATAACGTTTATCTGGAAAGCATTTGTTGTAGCAGTTGTAACACTGTCCCCACCTGAATTCTTTTTTAAAAATTTTTATTTATTTATTTTATTTAAAAAATTATTTTTATTTTTATTTTTATTTTTTTTGAGTTGGAGTCTCACTCTGTCACCCAGACTGGAGTGCAGTGGCCGCTCCCGGCCACGGCAGCCTCAACCTGCTGGGCTCCGGTGATCCTTCCGCCTCAGCCTTCCAAGTAGCTGGAACTACAGGTGCGCGCTACCACGTCCGGTTAATTTTTTTGATTTATTGTAGAGATGAGGTCTCACCAAGTTGCCCAGGCGGGTCTCAAACCCGCGGGCTCAGGCAATCCACTCACCTCAGCCTCCCAAGGCGCAGGATCCACCTGAATTCTTAAGGAATCACAAGCATTTGGGGTTTAAAACAAACCTTAACAGTCATCTAACCCAAATCTGTGCCTCTGTGACCCCTGCCTGTGCCCAGTGTTCCAGTCCAGAAGTCTTGGTGCTTTTATGCAGCCACAGCATGGACATGGGAGGTCTGGTGTCACCAGGGCAGGCCTGACTCAGTGTTAATAATGAACATATACCAAGTGAATCGCAATACTGAGCCAGGGTCCCGATGGAGAGCGAACAGAGGGACTTGAGGCAGAAAGAGCCATGCAGATGGCTTTTTTATTTCCCACATGGGTTTTTCTCTCCCAGCGTTTCCTATTGCTGAATTCCTGTTCTGAAAACCTGAATCCACCGAATCTTTTCTTCAGGGTATTTAAACTCTGAGGTCAATCTTCTATAAATGATAGAGTTTCCATATATTCAAAATAAAAAAGGTAGAAAGGTTAATAAAAAAAAAACTCTTTGACCTACAGTTTGTTGGTTTTGTTATTCTTTCTCCCAGTTGACCTTGATTTTGTAGGACTTTCAGATGATTTGGATAACCTGAAGGAATAGAAAGTTGTCAATCTGTTTACCTCTTCAATTCCTAGGAGGAAGCAGTTGGTGTGTTTTCCTTGCAGGTTCGTTTTATCACTTTGGGAGGCCTGTCAGACATAATCTGATTTAATCTATGAGAAGGCATGACAGAAACCATTTTAGTTTCTGAAGAGACATTTGAGCCATCTAGAGACTTGCATTTGCTTTTTAAAAAGCTGTCTTCTCTTATTTTGGAATCTTGACCATTCTTCTTGCTTTAGGTTTCCTGCCCTTCTTATGTCAGTTTCTATTTTCAACCCCCTAATTCTGATTCTGGTACTAATAGCATTCATATCATAGAATATTAGATTGTAGACCGTATTTATGTCTAAAATGTTTACTTTTTGAATTCCTGTACTCATTATTACTTCATCTCTGACACATAGATATGCCATACTTTCTGCTCACAGAGCTGTCAGCCAGTGGCTTCTTGGGGCCATGATAGCATCTCAAGGTCAAGAGTGATGTTCCAATCATTGTCTCACTGAGGGAAAAAAAATCTCAGGGCAAGGGATGAAAGGAGGCTCACTTTTCTCTCCTGAGATCAAAATCGTTGACTGGAAGAATTTTCAAAAAGTATTTGTGATGTTTTCTGACATACATCAAATGCGTGATGTTTTTCCAACCCCAACAAACGGTATTGGGTGTTCAACAATTCAGTTCAACAATTCCAACACCAGCAACAGCAACTGGGTGTTCAGCGATTCAGTTTGACTCTAATGGTATCTACCTGGAGTGCTCAAGCATCACATCCCACATGTTGAAGGGCTCAGGCCCATAAGATGCCCCTACTGGGGTGCTCAGGTTATCCACACTTTGACACTGCTGACTGCAAATTTGGGGGTTTCCATGTGCCCCCCTCTAGTTTTAATATTTTTCTAGGATGGCACACAGAACACAGGAATATACATGTTTGCTAGTGTATTCTAAAGGTTACAACTCAGGAACAACCATATGGAAGAGATATGTAGGGCATGGTATGAGGGCATGCTGGGGGCACAGAGCCTCTGTGTTCTCTCCTCAGTAGGCCACCTTCCCAGCACCTTGACGCTTCACCCAGGGTTTTTATAACCTAATCTCAGCCCTCTTCCTGGACACTCCCTAGAGGTTGGTGGTAGGTGGGACTGAAAGTTCTTCTTTCTGGTGACAAGTCCCCAATCTGGAGCTATCTAGGGTCCCAAAGTCAAGTCACCTCATTAGCATAAACTCAGGTGTGATCAAAAGGGGCTTTATATGAATAACAAAAGACACTCCTATTACTCAGGAAATTCCTAGGGTTCTAGGAGCTTTGTGCCAGAACAACCAAATATGTTTTCTTATTATACCATACTTATTTTTCCAAAAGCAAAGACAACCTTTACTTTTCCTCCCTCCCTCCCTTCCCCTGTGGCTCCCCTCTCACCCTGCTCTCCCTTGATGTCTCCATGCCAGTGTGCATTTATACACATTTAAACAACGTCCTGTGGGCTCAGGGCAGCTCTAATGGGGCCCAGGTGTCAGAGACATGGAAGGATTGGGATTCCTAAGGTGCATTTTGGATCAATGGCTCAGTCCTCCTTAAAAGCCCACACATTCTTCTCTTGAAGATTTAGTGAGAAAAAATCACATGGACATAGGGAGAGAAGGAAAAGCACAGACTTCTAAATGTGAAAATCTGAGCATATTGGCATGTCTGGGTTCACTGATGCATCTGTTTAGGTGCCTACTCTGTGGAACGCATGCCAGGTGCTACCTACAGAGATTTTGTCCTGTGCCCTGCTCCCAAGGGGCCTAGGAAGTGAGTGCTTTGAGAGAAATGACAACTTTTTTTCTAGAAAAGGTTTTTTGGGGTTTTTTTTAGGGGCTTGCTCTATATCCACTCTTAGGAAACCTTCATGGGAGCCTGTGGGAAGGTCGTTGGCAGGCTGAGCTCCTGAGCCCTGACCCTACTCCAGGGCATGCAGGGGTTGTTTCTGCTCTAGCTCCCAACCCCACGGTGGCATTCATTTTTCTTCACCATTGGCTGCAGCTAGATTATATTAGCTACAGCTCCCTTGTCTAGTAGGATTCTGTAAAATGGGAGAATCCTTCCTTCTCTTTTTTTTTTCCAAGTCATCATTTTTTTGATTGCTTACTAGGCCTGGTGACTTTTGCCTGCTGCTGCACACGTGATCTCATCTCATCCTACGAGATAGGGCACATATGAGCAAACTGCAGCTCAGAGAGGGCGACTTACCTACTCAGGCTCACACATCTGGTCTCCTCCAGAGCCTTGGTACAAACCCACCTCTGACTGATTCTTAAGCTCCCTGCAGTTCCCCCTTCTTGCCCTGGGGCTCGGCTTGGCGTTGCAGTAAAGGAGAGCAGTGAGTAAACAGGTGGCAACTTCAGGGGTTTGGGCTGGAAGAACTGCCTCTGATAGAGCTCAGAGATCACTTTTGCTTGAAGTCAAGTAGTCCTGACTCAGTGACTGACTAAAAAGGTCTAGCTCTCTGAACCTCAGTCTCCTCTTGTAAATAGGACAGTCATCACAGTGACTCCCCTGGACTTCAGGGAGTATGGGCATATATAGGACACTGAGTGAGCAGAATGGCTGTGACTTGGCTGTGGCAGGGGATGCACCCATGGTACACACAGCTGGGATGTTGGAGAGGCAATGTGTAGAGGTTTGGCTGACCAAGCACTCCCATTTTCTGCCTCCCCTCCTTCTCTGGCCAGCAGGTGGGGAAGAAGGGACATTCCTTACTAGGGCAGCTCATGTAACCCTGTGACCCTAATCAGCATGGTAACAATGGTGAATGTGACTGACTCTGTGATAGTGACCCACCTGGGGAAACATCCCAGGGTGAGATGCAAGATGGTGGCAAAGAAAGCACAGGTGTAGGTTGTGGAAAGACTTTATGCCCAGGACAAGGGAAAAAAGTGATAGGGAGCACAGGGAGGGTGGTGCCAAGACTGAGCAGGCTGCAGCAAGCAGGGCTTGGCTGGCACCCAGGCATTCCTGGAAAACAACTTGGACAAGACCTGCCCTTCCTCAGTGCTGCCTCCTGTCTCCCCCTGCCCTATTACCTCTGTCTCATTTAGAGACTCCAGCAGGGTGAATCTCAATCCTAAATTCTCCAGATACTACTTTTGCATGTTATTCATTGGTGCATCCTCATTCTTGGATGCCTCTGGCCATAAGATGATGTTACTCAACTGGACAGCCCTTCTCCTCTGACTTCAAATACTTCCAGACCTGGGACAGCCTTTCCTGATACTGCCTGCTCTCCCCAGAAGATACTCAGATCTCTGGATGTGTGCTTTGACTCCTGGTTGCCAGTATCAATAGCTGTGGGCCCACATCCCTTCATCTGCTGTTCTCAAATCTCAACAGCTCTGAATACTAATTGTTTTCCCTCTCCCTTGATGATGTTTCTGTAACTTTGAATTTAACTCGCTTGGTCTAAAAATTGAAATTGATGTGTGATTGAGACATTTATGTGTCTCACTTAGTTTAGATATGCATGCTTTGCTGTAGAAATAACAATTCATTTGGAGCCATCCTGATACCAGCTGAGGGTGTATCACGTGCCTTTCTTAATCTTAGAAAGTCTGAGCTACAGAGTGGAGTGTGGGTGGTCCCTGGGGACTGGATGCTGGTTGGGGGCCTGATAATGGTACCCTTGCAGGAGCTTCTGAGTCCACACTCTTCAGCCCTGAGACTTTGGCAGGGTGGAACTGGTTGCCTAGCAGCTGCAGGTGGGGTCCTGCATAAACTGCAGAGTTTATGGGCCTCAGGAAGGGCTGCAAGCACATGGTCCTGAAGGGGAGGACCCCCGGCACAGAGTCCCTGACAAAAGTCACCCACTCGCCTCAATTAAGCCTGGCTTGTGTGAGTACGTCCTGAGCTCTTTCCTGCATCTTTAGGTCCTGATGCAGTGTTTCACCCCCTGGCCCTGTGTTTGCGTTGTAGGGCTGTGGTGACAGAAGTACTAGCCCTGAAATAAAATAAGAATTCACATCTGAACACATTCCCTTAGAAGTTTCTGAGAGGTTCCATGTACCCGCACAGTATTGTTTTATGGAATAAATATTCTAAATTTCTGAAGCCTAGTTCTTATTCCAAGTGAATAAGTAAATTTCTTCTTTCAAAGTGTTCTTACAGTGAAAACTTTGAAAGCAGAACAGTTATTCATTTGGCTAAATGTAACTCATCCACTGTAGAAAGTGAAGGATCAGGGGCACTCAAAGGGTTGGGATTAACTTTAATGCTACCATCTTAATGTATTCATGGTGACAGCAGGACCTTAGCTGTGATTTTAATGCTCTTCACAGTAATTTTGGAAGAGATGATTGAACTCCCATTTTCTTTATACTTTATATATCGCAATTCAGCTGTGTATTTGTCTGGAGTGCTTTTGGGCTTTGCACTTACTTAATAATCTCTTGCAAAAAATATTAGTAGGCCAGGAAGCAAAGTACTGCTAATGTCATTGTCTGTGTGTGTCAGTCTTGGACAGATCACTATTTGCAATGGAATATGTCAGAATATCCGGGTGTGAAGACGGTTCGTTTCCCAGATGGCCAGATTTGGAAGCCAGACATTCTCCTATATAACAGGTAAGCACATTGAACAGGAGAAAGAATGATTTTTATGCTTGCATACATGTAGTAAGCAAGTATATTTGAGTATTTTGTAAAAATGCTGTATACATTCTCTGTAATTTGGGTCACTTTTCTCCAAGTGACTTTCTAAGTGGCTGGGCCTTTGAGAAGCAGCTCTGTTCCCCTCTGCCAGTATATTCCAGTTTGGCATGCACACAGTCACACTTTGGCTAGCAGGGATCGCCATGTCCATGGGGTTGTGGGTTCTTGGCACCTAGCACTGTTTCTATGTGCATTGATTCATGCAGTGTTCTTGCATAAGGCAATATCTCTGGTCCCTGAGTGGCAACAGTTATGACCAACAGAAGAAGGTGCTGGCCCATGGGATGCATGGCTGGAGTCCGTGGTTTGGTCCCACATCCTCATCTGATATATTTTCGGTTGTGTGTTGAAGTTCTGCAGCAAAGGTGGGTGCAGGTGGCTGCTTGTGTGAGTGCTATCAACTCTAGCTGTGTGCAGAATGCATACCTTAGTTCTAATAGTCATTCTCCTGAGTTCAGGAATTAAGTAACTCAGCAGTGAACCAAGAGTCTAGCTTGCAGACCAGAAGCCTAAAAGGCAGGTTATTGAGGCAGGGTAAATTTCTAGAAGCAGTACAATTTTGTATTCAAGTATGTAGTTAAATAAAAGATCCCAGAACATTTCTTCCTCATAGTGTCTCAGATCTGATAAGCAGTGTAATATAAGAGGAAGTCATCTCCTAATGATCATTGCTACCTTTGGTTCCAGATGGAGGGAAAAGAAAGCCCAGGCTTTTCTAATGCAGGGAGCAGTGAGCCCCTCTGTCATTGCCCCTGGTTATCACTCAGTGATTTCTCAGGACAAGCAGATGTGTTTGTCCTAAGTGACTCCTTCCAGAAGACATTTTTAGTGTTGACTTTAATTATTTTTCTGTCTTTGCCGCTGGTGGTCACATTTCACTGGAGTCACTGGGCCTGTTGTTAGAAGAATATCCTCTTCTGATTTGCTGCCACTTTTCTGTGTCTTAAACTAGTTCAGAAAAATGAGCTTTGAAAAATGTCTAAAATAGGAGTAAGTAGTCCCCTGTTGAGAATCAGCTCAACAAGCACAACATTTTCATGCCTGAACTTTGGGTGATGTATTTCCTGGGGGGCTATATTAGTCAGCAAGGGCTGATGCAACAAAGTACCGTAGACTGGATGGTTTTAACAACAGAAGTGTATTGTCACAATTCTGGAGGTCAGAAGTCTGAAATCAAGGTGTCAGCAGGACTGGTTTCTTCTCTCTCTCCTTGGCTGGTAGATGGCCACCTTCTCACCTTGTGTTACTTATCTACTGCTGCAGAACAAACTACCCCGGTCTTCATGTGATCGTCCCTCTGTGCTAGCCTGTGCCCTAATGTCCTCTTTTCATAAGGAGACCAGTCAGATGAGAGTAGGGTCCTCCTAACGACCACATATTACTTTAATCACTTCTTTGAAGGCCCTGTCTCCAAATAGAGTCACATTCCAATGTACCCAGTGTTAAGACTTCAACCTAGGATTTTGAGGGAGACGTAATTCAGTTCATAGCAGGGGTGGCACAACTGACCGCTTAAGGGAAAAGGGTTGGGATAGAACAAGTCTGACAAGTCAAGGGTGTTAATTTTAGCCATAGTGTTTGCTGTCTCTATAACTTTTTAGTCTCCTTTTCAAAATGGGGGAAAATGCCAGCTTCACAGACTGGGAGGACAACGTTGTAGATGTATGTAGCACACTTAGCCTGGTACTCGGGAAGGAGTACCCATTCCATAATGGCAGCTCTGTGTTTACAGGCAGGATGGTGAGGGTTTCTGCTTTAGAGTAAGATAGTAATTTAACAATTTAGAAAACACATCAATGTTTTTTGTTTCTCAGTTTAAAAAAAAACTTAATTCATCATTTTTATTTGAAATCAAGAATAATTTTAAAAAATATAGTGGAATCTTATCAATGAGGCTATAAGAGATCATTTATATGGTTCATATGTAGGACTTTTAACTCCAAAATATAAAATGTTTGATGATTCCAATGCTCTGGTAATAAAAACTACCTAGTTGTCATTGAATTTCAGGGAGCAAAGATATAGCAGCCTCTACCTGACAAATGTCACCAGGGTCCAGTCCTCAGGAATAATGCTCCTCCCCTACCATGCCTGTCCCAACTGGTGGCCCTCTCACATCTCTCCTTGGGTTTTACCTAAAATCTTCCTCTTCCTTTCCTCTCCCTATGCCCATAGACCACATCTCTCAGACTCCCCTGTGGCGTCCATTTTCTGTTTTAGCTTTTTCTGAGAAACGGGATGTACTTTCTGAAGTAATTGATAAATATATGACTCGCATGTCAACATGAACACAATATGGAATAAACAGTTTGCAGAGAATATTTAAGCCAGTCATATATGTTGTGTTACTTATCTACTGCTGCAGAACAAACTACCCCGGCCTCTGTGGCTTACTAAAAACAACTCATTATTCCTCACAATACTGTGGGCTGATCAGGCCTGTGTGGCTGGTTGTGTACGTCACATGACTATGAGCTAGGGCTGAGCCAGGCTGGCCAGCTGAGGGGTATGTTCCATGGTGGGCAGGGCTGGGCTAGTGGAGATGCCAACCCTGGCTGGGAGCTCAGCCACTCAGCCGAGGCTGTGAACTCTGCCACCCAGTTTTCCTCTTCCTTTTCCATGAGTTTCTGCTATCCCCCAGCTTGGTGGCCAGGAGTGCTACTAGAAGAAGGAAGTGGGGGCTGCCAGGCCTTTTAAGGACTAGTGTGGGAACCATGAACAGTCCTTCTGCACTTTCTTTGTTGTGAATAGGCAAGGGGGGCCCAGCCTGGAGTCAAGGGAGGGAATTCGCCGCCCCCCCCCCCAGGACCTGCAGGTAAGAGGGGAGCCAAGGAGTGCTCTGGGGAGACCGGTGTTCACATGAAGGGAAAAAGTGGTGAAACTGCAAAGGTCAGATTGACAACTTGGGGTAACAGAAAGACCAGAGTAGGTGTTCATCCTGAAGGCCCACTCAGCGATGTGTGCTTGTAAGGGGCAGTGAGGGAGGTGAGTAGACCAGAAGAAGAGAGGGGTTCCAAGGATGAATGCGATCTTGTCGTCTCCACCATGTTTGTCAGCCTCCTTTGCTGTCTAGACACACTGCCCGTCTGCTGTGTGTGCAGACTGGTCCATCCCTGCCATATGGCTGTGTCTACTCTCAGCCCCACTCTTTGTTTTCAGCTCGTTGATGCCCCCTCTTTCCCATACAGGACCTTTACATGCCTCCTCTCTGGGTGCTGAGTGTTTCTCTGTCATTTGGAAAGGCATTCCTGGTCCCATAAGGGGCACTTAGGGTCTGCCACCTCTTAGAGGCACCTAGTAGAGCACTTAAGACATTTTGTACAAAGATGGGATGCAGAAGGTGGGGGATGCAGAAGGTGGGGGATGCAGAAGGTGGGGGATGCAGAAATTGTTAGGAGGAGGAGCAGAGAGGCTGGCTCAGTGTGGAACAGGGATGCTGAGAACAGCCAGAGAAGACAGAAAGGAAAGGGAGAGATTCATAAGGGCAACCTAGAAATGTTACACTGGACCTGAGGCTAAAAATTGACACAGGAAGTAGCAAAAATAGGCTTGACCTTAGGAAGATCCTGACCTTCTGATATTCTGTTATTGGGGATTTTGAGAGCTATTGAGCTTAACGCTTTCTGCTAACCTCTAGGTACTCAAAATAATGCGTTCTGCTCAGTCCCCTCATCTGTTGGCTTATGAACGTGTGAGTGGGGTGGAGGGGTTTTTCCTAAGGAAATGGTTAAATGCCATCCTTCTCTGTAAGCTAGTTTTAAAAGAAGCATTGATTTAGCTAGAGTGAAGCCTCGCAAATGTGTCCGTCCTGTCTCTCGCTCTGGTTTGATATTGGAATCCACACGTGAGTCACTATTGGTTTTGAGATATATTGCATTTTTTGTGCTAGGAAGAGGCGGGGTCACTGCAAAGCAGCCATCTCTGCATCATTTCAGGAATGGTCTGCTTTATTTTCTTGATGGATAGGGAACAAGTTGTGGTGCTGCCAGCCAACTGGCTGGGTCGCTCTGAGGAGAGGATGGGCGCTCATAAAAGTGTCTCTGTCTGGTGCTGATCCCAGGCATTTTTTCATCGCTTTATTCTGCTTTACTTTAAGCCTGCAGCATGAGGGTTTTTCTGAACATCATCTTACCCAAAGTGAGTAGCTATTATGGACGGCTTGTCACGATTTTCCCCTTTGGATGGCATTAACGGCCTTGCTGGGATCAGCAGTTGGCTTGCAGAAGAAAAGTCTGAGTCCCAGTAACTTCCTGGATGCCCTTGCACCATGCAGATGGACAACTGCCTTGGCCTCGCTGGGCTTCTCTGATTTTGAGTTGCTTGATCAAAAATACTGTAGCAATAATGGAAATCCTTTTTGATGAAGGTATTTAAAGATGCTTCTGTTGGCTTGAATGTTTAGAACAGCATGGAGTGTCAGCCATACCTTTTCACAGATTCTATAAGACTACATTATCTTCAGCCTTGAGTCTTTTTTTTCCTCATGTTTCCCTGTCCCTGTGGCAGAGCCTGAGTAGGGGATGATGTTTGCAGGACATGCTTGGGTGCAGTGATCCAGCCTGTAAGGTCCTAATTGTGCTAATCAATGAGTTGCAATGAAGTAGAATTTATTCCCTTGAAGTCATCCCAGGATAAGGATTTTGGAGCATGTAGTTTATTTGGAAAGTGACCCTGGGAAACACAATTTGGGGAGGGGAAGTGAGACAGGGAAGGGAGGGAAGCCAATATAGCATGCAGTGCTTTAAAAAGCAAGTAGTGCTGTGGGTAACTGAAGCCTATTCCCAGTGGAGACCTCTGGAGACTTGTGTATAGCACCTTTCAGGGTTGTTCTGAGGAGACTGATTATCCTGAATTAGAGCTGCTTCTGGAGGGCATCATCTCCCTGGCACCTCTGGCTTGCCTGCCCCATGTGT